CAAAAGATCCGGTCTTTTTTAGATCCGGTTACAATGAAATCAAAGAAAAAGAAAAAGATTACAACTTTCCTTTCGAAAAAATCACGAGCTCCTGTTTTGCGGTCGCTCGCTTGTGTGGGTTCTTTGCCAACGCCGGGTTAATCCGTGGACCACCGCGCGATCTAGATCCAGTCGGATCTACACGATTTGACGGGTATTATTTCGCGAAGGAAATAATAGCCGGGGGGGATTAATTCACCAAGGAAATAATCGCCCTTAGTTCTCGGGATCAAAGGCCAAGCTTTGATCCGGAGTATGATCTCGTGTAGATCTCAGATCTGATCTCTCTCTCTCTCTCTCTTGAACTCCTGCCTTTTGTGATGTGGATGCTCGCCGAGAACCAGATCTGAATGTTCAAGTCCTCAAGTCTTCAAAACTCCAAGATAGGTGGCTAGGCCTTGGCCGAGCCACCTATGGGTGGCTCGGCTTTGGCCGAGCCACCTATAGGTGGCTCGGTTTTGGCCGAGTCCCCTTTGGTGTTTGGGTTTTGCCGATTTTTTCGGTCTCGTGGTTGATTTGGACTCTGATTTGTTGATCCGATTTGGCAGTAAATCTGATTCCTGATTTGGCAGTAAATCCACTTCTGAGTTCAAGTCCGAAACTGATCTTAATTCGATCATGATTCGTCCGAGTCCGCCCTTGGATGGATGACTCGTTGATTCTTCAACCCGTTAGCTTGATTTCGCACGCGAGTGGATTTATTCCGTTGTTTGCGTGCGATTCGTTAACCTCGTCGCCTCGTTGGTTCGTCGGTTTGTGCTGAGCTATGCTAAGGGATCTATAAGCAATTTTATATGCCTACAAGGACGACCAAGTAGCTGGCCTATCCTCTGCCACCCCTCACCTGTCAAACCTGAGACATTTCTCTCCTGTACTCAGAATGACTCCCCCCCAGTCGCCTGCCAACACCTGGAGGGGCAAGGATGACTCAGCCGCCTGTCTATTCACCTTTCAATCGTCTCCTGTACATAGTCAACGAAAGCCGAGGATCAAGCTCCCCAAGGCTGGAGGGGCTATAAGAGGAGGTAAGGATGTGCAGAAAAAAAGGAAAGGGGATCAATCTTCTTCCCAACACTGGAAGAGACAGGATCTCTACCTTCTCCAAACCCTAAATTTTATTCAAGTCTTTCCTTAATAAATTCTAAAGGAGAATGCACCATGCATGGACCTCAATGGCCTAGGGACTCTCCCTAAAACCTCCCTCAAATTCATCCTCTAACTTGACCATCGGAGGTACCACGGGGGAAACACGCCCCGTACCCCGGCGTTGCTTATGTGTGCAGGCCATCAGTCCACCCTATACGCTCAGAGCTAGGCATAAAACCGGAGGGGAAGTTGGCCCCTTTATCCTTCATCATCCTATTGTGATAGCCTACTGCATCCCTATCGACTGTTTGTTTACGAGCATCAACAGTATGCCTACTATAATAGACTGATATATCTGGAGACCCGCTGTAATACATTGAAATCACATGATATTCATGTGGGAGAAATGACTGGTGATGAAGTCTTAATAGCAAATAATACTCTATGATTGAGTTTTCTTTCAACATTATGCAAGAGAAGACTAATTCTATCTCAAAACGGGATTTTCTCATCATATAAACATACATCATACTCTACATACAAAATAAAGAATGAAGAGAAACAACAATCAGGAAAATTACAGGATGACATATTTTGTTTCCGTCCGGTCGACTGCGGCAACATGTACAATCGACCGGAAACGTGCACAAGATAGGGATGAGTTTCTAACCATGACCGGTCGACCGTGACGGTCAACCGCTAAACCCTGTATCGGTTTTTGGTTTCTGTCGTTTTCCATGGTCATCCGAGACTTTGTCGGCGGTCAACCGCCAATCGGGTTTGGGCTTGGGCTTTGTTTCCTGTTTACTTTGGGATTGTGTTTTGGTATATATTGAAACACGATTTTCTGAGGTTCCTAATCAGGGATTAGAGAGTGTTCTGAGCATATTGAGAGGGAGAATTTGTGAGCAAGTTGAGAGATCTTTTGGTTGGGTTAGTTTGAGTGTTTGAGAGATTTGTAACCCTTTTTACTCCTTGATTTAGTGGAATCTTCACATCCTCTCTCCGTGGACGTAGGCAAATTGCCGAACCACGTATATCTTTGTGTTTGCGATTGGTTTGTCGTATTTCGGATTGAATTACACTTGTGTTTGGTTTGTTAATCTTCTCTTGTGCCTCACGAACTCGTTTGGTGTGCGAGCACGCTTCCGCAAAGGCACGCAACAATTGGTATCGGAGCTCAGATTTAAGATCTAGGGTTTTGGCATTGGATGGAGGAATATTCGTCGTGGAAGCTTGGTTCTTGGAGTTCTAGGCTTCGGTGGAGATAGTGTTTGGGGTTTTCGTTGAAGATTTCGCTTTCCTTATGTGGTTAGGAGATCTATTTGGAATCTATTCTAGGGTTCAGTTGGGTAACTTCTAAATTCTATCAAGTTTAATTTTTTTTTAACAATTGGAGTTGTGAGTATGGGTGAAGAAGTTGGTGAAAGCAGCAAGATGGCGGGTACAATTCAAGTTGGTTTTCATAACACCAAGATTAGTGTGGTTAAATATGACGGCAAGATCAATTTTGGTTTGTGTATGAGTAACGTACATGATGCGCTCAATGCTCAGAATTTAGAGGAGACCATCATGGTTCATGAGAGGCCACCAAAATATAAAGAGGCGGTATGAGAAAAGATGAATAGGAACGCTTGTGGGGTGATCAGGTCATGTTTGAAATAGGAGCTGAAGTATGATGTAATTGGGGTGACATCTGCAATGAAGATGTGAGAGATTCTCAACAATAAGTACCTTACGAAGAGTGTTGAGAACCGTTTGCACTTGCTGTAAAGATTGTTTATATTTCAGATATCCAGTGACACCTCACTAGCAGTTCATGTGAATAACTACACTAAGTTGTTGCCGGACTTAGCTAATGTGGATGAGAAGATTACGGATGAATACAAGGCTATTATTATTTTGGTTGTGGTTAGTATTTCAGGTTATAATATACATTCTAATATATGGATATACATGCGGATATAAGATGAATATGAGAGAATCACAAAACATTAAAAAATGTATAGTTCGTATGATGCAAAGAGTTCATGTATGCGTTTGTTATACCTGAAAAAGTAAAGACTAGACTCTTGATCGTCAAATTAACCCAAATCAACTAATTCAAATTAAAACAATTGCAACCATACGACCGGCGTATGTTTTGATATTAAGGTTACAGATTTAGATATTCACTATGTAGCCCTACACATAACCATATCTTATTAGATATAGATATTTAATAATCATACATGTATTCGTATATTCTTAGATATAGATAAGCTTTTTGCACCCATGATTACAAATATTCATAACTATTTATTTGACAATCTATGATTTGAAATTAGAAGTTGGGGTCTTTCCGCTATTTATAGTAGTAATGAAGATTATCCAAATCAATGTGTTATATAGAGTAATCTAACCAGTGTAAAAGCTATTATCAGATGAATGCGGAGCACAACGTTATCGAGCATTTGCGGTGATTTGTTTAAAAAAAAAAATCCTTGTAGAAATGACAAAGATCTCCCTCTTTAGTTTCAAAGGTTGCCTTTACTTCCCCATTCGCTATTTTCAGTGACATAATCATCAGATTTTTTTATGCAACTCGTAAGTTTCAATAAAAAAATTAGATACTTGTTTTTTCTAAAAAGTTTACCACGTACGGCTACTAGAATTTTTTAATAATATAAATCAACTTTTAAAAATTGAAATAACGGGATCAAACTGTCACTTTTAAGAACTTAGGATGCATTATGCAAAACGTAGAGGAATTTTCTGTAATTTGGCAATCCTAGTTTCTACCCTTCCAGTTTGGAGGAAAATTGAAAAAGGAACAGAGCGGCTATTACTAATTTGTTGGGTTTTTTAAATATTAGTCCCCTACATCTTTCGTATTTTGCAATTAGTCCCTCAAATAATTAAAATAGTATTAGGTCCCTAATATCTTAATTATTTTGAAATTAGTCCTTCAAATCATTGAGATTGATGTTGATCTCCTGGCTAAATTGCACTTAAATGTCCTAGAGTTTCACCAACTTCGTACTTAAGTGATCCCTATTTAAAAACCGAGTAAATGAATACCCATTAAATATTTAAATGTTGCAAATCAATGCCCAAAAGTTTAAATAACCAGATGACATTAACTTTTCTTTATGTATCTAAGAATATCACATGACGCAGATACTAAAGTGAAAATTTTAAAAAATTTAGGATATTAAATTGAGGTTATTTACAAACTGAGGGTATTTATATACAACATTGAGTAAATAAGACGGCACAAAAGAGCAACAATTTGAAACTTTGGTCATTTATATGCAACATCTAAATACTATGAGGTACTTATTTGTTTAATTTAAAAATAGGGGTCACTAAAGTGCAAGATTGGTGAAAATATAGTGCATTTAAATGCAATTTAGTCTAATTCCCCAAGTCTCAAGTTATTTTAAAAATATTTCTTCCAATTAAGAGCATAGGTAGTAATTTTTGCTCCTGCTACCTGGGTTATGTATGAGTCATACGCTCCAAGGGAAGCGTCTTTTGTAATCTCTTCTATCTAAACAATGAAGATTTGAGATTTAGGAAATAATAATAATAAATAAATAAAGGGATTAGTTTGGAATGACTTTTGAGAATTTAGGAACCAGCTAACAATATCAATGACTTGAGGGACTAAATTCCCCTTAATTTCTACTTTCAAGCATGATATGAAGGATTAATTTCATAATAACCCAAGAAAAAAAAAACCCTAATTTTCTTGATTTGGGGACCTAATAGTAATTTTCTTGATTTGTGGAACTAGTTTCAAAATATAAAAGATGTGAAGGACTAATACGAAAAAACCCCTAATTTGTTAAATTGGGTCCCAATTGTACGGTCAAAAGAAAAGTCATCCTCTCACCTCCGCTGTCTTCATTTCCAAAATTTCCCCCCGAAAATCAAAACCCTAAACCCTAATTCCACCCTGAAACGCTTGTTCCTCAGAGCCGAGAGAAATGGATCAGAGATTAGCGAACGCCTGGCGAATGACCGTCAACGAGAAGAAGTTCATCGAGACCGCACTCCTCTCGGATCTCAGAGTCGACGGCCGCCGCCCCTTTGATTACCGTCGCATTACCATCAAATTTGGGAGGTTTACATTAAAATCATACCTCTTTAGGGTTTCTCTCTTGTATTTATGCGGATTTATTGTTTTTTTATTAGATTATTTCTTGAAATTTATTGTTTTGCGCTAAACCATAAGGCCTAAGAAGGGTTAATTACATTAGTAATCTTAACTTCGATTGTTAGGTGAAAGCTGTCCAGCCTTTTGATTACCCCTCCCCAAAATTGTAAATAGAGATAAGTTTTTATGAACTGAAAACGTTTTCCTCGAGGGACTGTAATTAGAGATAAATTTCTACAGTCATTTACCGAGTCAAGCTTGATTCATCTTTCTCAATGAAGTCTGTCCAGATTCTCAGCCTTAGAAACTGCTCCCCATTTAGCAAAGCAGACCATATACCTGACATATTCTTTCCTTTCTAAGATAATATCTTCTCTTCTTGTGCACCGCTTTTTCCGTAGCCCAAGAGGCTAAAGTATATATATTTATCAAATGCAGTGGACTAGCCCATGTCCTCGAGGGACAGTAATTAGAGATAAATTTCTACAGTCATTTACCGAGTCAAGCTTGATTCATCTTTCTCAATGAAATAACAGATAGTCTGTCCAGATTCTCAGCCTTAGAAACTGCTCCCCATTTAGCAAAGCAGACCATATACCTGGCATATTCTTTCCTTTCTAAGATAATATCTTCTCTTCTTGTGCACCGCTTTTTCCGTAGCCCAAGAGGCTAAAGTATATATATTTATCAAATGCAGTGGACTAGCCCATGTCCTCGAGGGACTGTAATTAGCACTGTTTTAAATATCGGCCGATAATCGATATTATCGGCCGAGTTATCGGATTTGGGACCTCTCCGCTAGGATAAACTGGATTTTTAATCGGTTATCGTTTTTCTAGGTTTATCGGCGATTTATCGGCGTTATCGGCACTTATCGGCCGATAAGTAAGACTTTTTTATCGGGATTATCGGGATTATCGGCCAATTTGGACTAACATTATATTTTTTCAAGGCTATGATGCAAGTTTCGCTTTCTACAGTTAGTTAATGATTCTAAACATGATGATTTACATTTTGGTATGTTTATATTTCATTAAGCATGATTAGATTACATTTTTTAATTGTTATATTATATATACACATCATTTAGTATATCACTCCGATAAATACTACTTATCCCCGATATATCCCCGATTTCCGCTATCCGATAAGGATTTTGGCCGTCCGATAAATCCCCGATAACCGATATTTAAAACCTTGGTAATTAGAGATAAATTTCTACAGTCATTTACCGAGTCAAGCTTGATTCATCTTTCTCAATGAAATAACAGATAGACTGTCCAGATTCTCAGCCTTAGAAACTGCTCCCCATTTAGCAAAGCAGACCATATACCTGACATATTCTTTCCTTTCCAAGATAATATCTTCTCTTCTTGTGCACCGCTTTTTCCATAGCCCAAGAGGCTAAAGTCTATATTTATCAAATGCAATGGACTAGCCCATGGTTGCGTGGAACCTGGTTCGTTCCGGTTCATGGGACGGGTACGGGAATGTGGTACGCCACTCGTTAGGAATTGGGTATGAGGGTGGTATGTCAGGTAACATAGTAAGCTTTAGGTTCGGTTCTTAAATGCTAGTTAATATCAGTGATGGTAAAAGAACCATAAGAATCATGTTGCAATTGAGATATGCATACTTTTTTGCTTAATTGCTCACCTTTTTTTGTTTATTCTTTTAAGAAGCGTTTTTTATTCAAAATTTTAATTGGTTTGAATTCTAAATCGGGTCGTTGGAGTTGGTGAGTCGGGATTGAACCTGGGTCATGGTTCTCTATAGCTTACCGCATTCCTGACTTCTATGGACTAGCCGATAGTGCCGAATTGACAAGAAACCAAATTTCTCTGTAGATAAAGCAACCTCCTCTCAGCCCATCTTCTGTCCGACTAGTCCAGGGCATGTTGCCACTTGTCGAAGGACCCTTCCACTACACCAGAGCTCTTAAGTTCCGTGAGGGTTGACATTATAATTTTGTATCTAACATGCCCCAGTAGGTCAAGTTCTCTTTCATGGGCTGAAATCTAGACCTACAGAGCGGTATTATTTTTTAAAATCTGTTTTTAGAAATCAGTTTCCTGTAGATTTGAACCGGAGTTTCTCTGGTAGCATATGAAAGGCCTTTCCACTAAACCAAAAATCCGAAGTTGTGGTGAAGGTTGAGGGTTAATCTAACACCATCTTTTTTAATGTAACTGAGCATGACTCAAGAGTGCCTAGGTAAGAAATAGGGAACTGACCTTAATAAATGGACATAGAGGCCATATGCCTTGGTTGATCCCCTATTATTCTAAAAGTCATGGAGCTTTAGAATAATTTATTAAAAAAAAAACTCATAACCATATAACAACAATGTTAATATCTGAAGTGAAATCAATATATCACCAGGATATTGGCGACAAAAAATCTTAATATCCACATTTGAAGGGTCTAAACCTCTTAAGGTAATTAGAATGACTTTTGAATAATTTCAGTGAAGCATCATGCTGCGAAAACAAATATAAGAGGAGAAAGAGGATCATCTGGTCTAAAACCGGTTTCAGACAAGATAAGTCTCCAAAGTAATGGCAAAATTTGTGTTCTTTAAGACGATATTCCATTCACTATATTGTTTTTCTAGCTAAATCTCTAACCTGAATAGTGTGAAAAACTAAATTATAAACATGCCATATGGCTTATCAAAATTAAGTCAACATCATATCACCATCTCTTTTCTCCTTTAAGTACCATAAATAATCTTTTGAGCAACAACCATCCTGTCAAGAATAAACTCTTGACAAAGGTTTGTTGAGCGATATCCAACTAGAGCAATTACAATTATGGTTTTCTAAATATATGCATATAGCTAAATGTTCATTAGTGATTTTTTATTATATTCAACCGTAATATTCATTCTCTCAGTAGTTTATATCTGTTTTGCCTGCAGCAAGGATGGTTCATCAGAGGTGCAACTTGGCGAGACTCATGTCATGGGCTATGTGACTTCACAATTGGTCCAACCATATCGTGACAGACCAAATGAAGGGACGCTTTCAATTTTTACTGAGTTTTCTCCAATGGCTGATCCTACTTTTGAGGCAGGCCGCCCAGGAGAATCTGCAATTGAATTAGGACGTGTAATAGATCGTGGTCTGCGGTGGGTGTTTTTTTACGTTTTATCATGTTTGGCTGTGCAATGCAATTTTTTTCCCTCTGTATGTAGCTGTGGAAGCATACAGATTTAACCCTCATCCAGTTTGGAGCCAGTTGAACTCTGTTCTCTTCTTAAGAATGAAAATTGCGTTGCAGGGAGAGTAGGGCAGTGGATATGGAATCCTTATGTGTCATTGCAGGGAAATCTGTCTGGGCCGTTCGCGTAGACATCCACATTCTTGATAATGGAGGGTATGAAATAATTTGTAGGTGATTTATGTACTGAAATTGGTATAAAAATATGCTGACTTTTGATTCTTATAACTCAGGAATCTCATTGATGCTGCTAACATTGCTGCTTTAGCTGCTCTGTTAACATTTCGAAGGCCTGAATGTACATTAGGTGGAGAAAATAGCCAGGATGTTATTGTGCATGATCCTGAGGTATGTCAAAGTTTCCCCGGCGAAGCTACACAATAATGTAATTTGACATGATCAATGGCATATGCCAATGGCATGCTTCATATCAATTGAGACATCAAAAGAGATCAAGACATTTTCTACTAATCTATATTCTGTTGGCTCTGATGGCATTTCATCCATTCATGTTATTTTGTTAGTATATTCTTTTTGAAACATGTTATTTTAACAGATCTTTTGACACTTAACTTTTCCCTATTCTTCTCGTCTGCTGTGCAGGTCAGGGAACCACTTCCCTTGACCATCCATCACCTTCCTGTGGCAGTAACCTTTGCTTTCTTTGGTGAAGGGAACATCATGGTATGATTAAAATCCTAAAGTTACTAATGCTTCCGTCTATGTTTATTCATATTCACCATAGAATTTATCATAACCCTCTCACTTGTTCCTGCATCTGAAATGTTTTAGTGTTTTATAGGTGATTGATCCAACCCACAAGGAAGAGGCTGTAATGGGGGGCAGAATGACTGCTACATTGAACTCAAATGGTGACATTTGTGCTGTACAGAAAGGTGGGGGTGAAGGCGTGATTTCAAGTGTTGTTATGCAGTGCTTGCGGATTGCTTCCATAAAAGCTGCTGATATCACAAGCAAAATTAAGAATGCGGTGAGTATAATAACGTTTGTCTTCCCAACTTACATAAGCTTGTTAGTGCTAGGATTTCAAACATTTGCGTTAGTTTCACTATTATTTCCATTTTAATTATGAAATTCTTTTTTGTCTATGAATGTTTACTTCTTTCTATGAACAGCTTTTTATTGATCAAATTGTTGAATGTATACCTAAGACATTTTCCCATTTCTTCTGGAGCTTAGCCGCATATCTGTCAAAGTCGTTGGGCTCATTCCCAGATCTTATTATGCTTCAAAAGCTGTACATTTGGGACCCTTACTTTTGAGGTTTTTAATTGGATTCCATCTGAATTTACCTGAAGTATTGTGTTTCAGCAGATCCTCAGTTTTTGTTTAGAGCATGGTCATGATGCAGTAAATAGTTTTCCACAAAATAGAAACTCAGCAGAGAAGTTGTCGAGGGCACTGCTGCAGCATACTTAAGGATGTTGTTTTTCGATTGTTTCATATTTATATATTAAATATCATGCTTAAGTAAAATTTTATCTTCTTCTACAATCATTACTAGAACATTTTTAGTAACTGGCTGTGAAACTTGTAGATATATTGTTTTGTGAATTTATTTCTTGAACTGTGACAAACAAACGTCACACATCTTAAAAGTCTCATTTGGACTTTGGTAGATGCTATGCTTTTTAAACTCGGTAAAAAATGGTTTCCAGCTACCATTCACATGAACCAGAAGCATCCTTATTAGTAAATTAGCATATTGGACACTACACAAATGGCCACATTTTGTGGTTGTTTTTATATATGAATGGAAACGACTGTGTACTTGAATCTAGCTTTCTTCTTGGAGATTCTGCTTCTAGATCACTATCTTGTATTATTCTTATGATTTTAATGAACTGAAAATTTGTAATAGTCATTTACTTTGAATGTATAGGGCTGTGGAAGCATATTCAGAGGGTTGGAAGGGATCATGATTAGAACCTTGTTCACTTTTTACTTAATAGTAAAAGTTTCCAGTTTTATGTAATCTTTTTCTTCCAGAAACTTCCTGCTTATATAAGCAAAGATTCTTCGGTGCTTGCTTGATAAGGGAAACAAATTCCAACCAACCATTACACCTAATAGAATTTCATGTATTGGTTGAAATCACTGTATCATCTTTCTTTTCTGAAGTATCCTATCACATTTGTTTAGGTAGATGCATACGACACTGAAAGGGCACTTCGAAAAGTGAAGCGCCATCCATCATCAGTTGCGCAAAAAGTTAGTGTACCAGATGTTATCATGAAGGAGAGCCAACTTGACGAATTTATTAGACAAAAAGCTCAAATGGTGACAGAAGAGCCGGGTGTCGAAAGCATGGGAACTGAATCTTTATCTTGTAAAAGAGATGCCAATAGTATAGGCAGAGCATTTACTGGCGGTCCTTCAAATTGGTAACTTGATAGCTTGCCTCTGTTAGTGGTCCAGTTTGTCCTTTTAATGTTTAATTCCATCCGCGCCAAATTGTCTGTGACCTTTTCCTGGCCCAACCTTATCATATTTCTTTCATTGTTTGCAGGGATCCATATTCAAAGAGCATATCTATGACTTCTGTCAGAGCTCAAACTTCAACAGGTAATCAGTCCCTTCATTTTTTCTGGGCCCTCATTGAACCTATTCATCTTCTGGTACTGGTTAAAATTTCCTGTTCCTTTTCGACTGATAATATCAATGGTGTGAAAGTTTCCTGACTTGTTCTAATTGTTATTGACTCTAAATATTAACCCATTTCATCTGTTAAAAATTGCATTAGTTTCCCACAGCCTTATTTTATTTTTATATTTTAAATGACGTCTGTAGCTTTAAGATATTGTTTTACAATACCATTCTCTCTTTGTTTTTTCATCTGAAAGGATCTGTATTAAAGGAACACGAGAACTGTAATCGTTCATGTCTGCTTGAGACATACTAATAGGCTATGGATGTAGAAGTTTAAATTTTGATTTTAAGTTGGTGGTGGACCAAGCTATGGACTTGACAGTGCAGCATGCAATCAAGTCTTTTCCTTTCACTTCTTCGTTTACTTTGAGTTATCTGATTTCACTTGACAAAGGATTAAAATGAAATAGTTTCTATGTAATATGTTGACGAATCAACATGGGGGTGCTTGATTCATTTGGAGTTTTGGCATTCTCGCTTAAATATATGAGTTTCTATGCAATATATTGACGAATCAACATGGGGGTGCTTGATTCATTTAAAGTTTTGCTTGATTCATTTGGAGTTTTGGCATTCTTGCTTAAATATAAGAGTATCTGGGTCAATATCAATGCCTGTTAAGATAGATGCTGAAGTTGTCACCTAGCTTCGCAGAAGTCTAACCCCAGTGTTAAAGTTGTACTTCACTTTATTAAAGTTTGTGGTTGGTCATACAGGTCCTATGGCAATAAAGAGAGAACATGAAGCCATGGACATTCAGAAGCCAATAGAATCCAATCCTGACGGAAGAACAATTCCAGATGCTTCTGGTTCCAGTATAGTTGATGGATCTGGTGTTGGCCAGCAATCTAACACCCCAAAGAGTCTAAAAGATGCCGTGAAGGTGAAAAGCAAAAAGAAAACCAAAGAATCTTCTACTGCAATGTGAATTATGTACTGACAGCCTTACATATGCATGCCAGGTACTTTCTTTTACCTTCTAATTATGTCAATGCTCTTTGCAATTAAGCCTATGAGCCATGTGTCAGTGGCCAGTGGACATTATTATGGGCAATTACCAGAATTAGCCTCCAAAATAGAAATATCCATTCTCGCTGTATATTATGATTTGCAACTGCATGGTCTGTTTCTTTCTCTCCTCTCATGTTGATCTTGATGGATAAAAGATCTTTCCATGTTATACTATTTGATTCTCAAAGATGAATTGGTTTGATAGATCAGAAATTGTTATTCATAATATTGATCTGATTTGGCATCATTAGATTTGACATTCCTTAGTCTTTTTTTTTTGACCTGCATATAACAAATGTATCATTAAAGTTCTTTCTTATACTAGCTGTATATAGAAGCTCTTATTTTAGGATGTGCCTCATTTAGTCCTGGTTTTTCAATGCGCAGGAATTGTCGTGGATACAAATCCTTGACAAGCATTTGCAGATCACAGCCAGAGGGGAATAATCCGCAGGTCTTGCAGTTTCAATTTTGTGGCTAGGGGTTCAATTCCTGTAAGTCTTTTCATGCTTTGATGGCTTCAGATTAGTGGATAAGTGGATTAAAATGGTGGATGATTCTCTTACACGAGGATTTTGGTTATTATTAAATGTTCCATACTAGCTAGAGAGTCCGGTTCCATCAAATTTTGTAAAAATTGTTTTACTCGTTCTATTATGAAAGCAGTTCTTTTGGTTGTTAACCAATTGTTTCCTACCTCTAAATTATTAATTTCTTTAATTCTCAATGAGTGTGAAATATAGCAGGGGTGTTACTATTGTTCATTTTCCTACGCCAATGTTTCAACATATTGGATACATTTTTTTCCTTCAAGATTTAATGTTGCTGGATGTGAAATACTGTCTTGAGGTATGTAGTTCCTAACTTCTACATCAGGTTTCATTGAAGAAAATAAATAATCCCCAATTGAAATGTATATAGTTTTTGTTTATTCATCTAACCATTTTGTTTTTCTTGGGTTTCCTTATATGTTGTACTGCATCTGTCAACCTTAATGTTGTGCAAATATTTGTCTTGCTTTATGCTCCTATCAGACTTCAATTTCAAACTTATGGCATCCAATAGAACAGTATTTATATGTAGGACATAATTCGGGTTTAAGCAATAAATTCCAGTGTTTTTCACTACTCAAAAAGAGTTTTAGGATGCAAAACTGGCAGTGCAGTGTTTTCTTCTCTGAACATTTGATTCCTTTTGTACGGATTGATTACACAGACTGGGGATTATCTATGCCAAATGCAGCGATAGAAATGCCGCCATGAGCGCAGTGAGTTTAGTTGATCTTCATGTACAAATTATCAGGAGCGCTAAACGATTTATTTTATACACACAATTTAGCAAACAAGCCTGAACTTTCCCAGAAAGCTTTCTGGTAGCATGGGCATAGGAATATCCCAATTCATTTGCACATCAGCGTATATCTGTTCATCAAATTGTGTAATAAGAACAGTTGGGTATATAACGATCTCTAATGCCTCTACTTCTTAATGATCACTCGTGGATATGACAGTTCATACATAGATTCAATCTCCTCATAAATCCAGGAAGCTATCATCGTTGTGCCGTGAGAAGATATACAATACATTGGACAAAAACGTCGGTGAACAATGAATATGCTTAGTTTTTAAGTCTCCTTGAGCAAATTGTTCCCTGAGTAAATTGCTACAACCGGGAAGTCCATTTTAGTTCTTCGCAAGACCCTCAACAGCTTTCTTCCACTGCCATGCTCTCTCTTTTGCATCCTCGAATGACCTGACCTTTGTCAACTAAGAAATAAGAACCGATAAAGCTCAGTGAATGGACAGACACAGATAGCAAAAGTTCAATTAAAGAAAAGGGTTTTTCTCATTTTAGATCCTAATTCCATCATATTTTTATATTAGGTTTCCAGATCTTCATGCTTTTAACTTACCAGCTCCAAATCTGTTAATGAAATTAAATTCCACCTAGGTCTGTTATTATGGTGTGGTTAATTCTTACCAACTGCTGGTAATTACCTTTATACCCTTGGTTAAGGTTTACTACATCAATATAACTCCTATAATCTACCACTCTTTCTCTCACATATTGCAGATTCTTTTGCCATTTTCTCTCATTTCCCTAGTTCACTCCTCTCTTCTCACACTAGTTCAGTCACAGGAGTTTTAACTATTGTAGTATCCTAATCAAGCTCTCAAGTTAAATTACCACCCATGGTTTAAGAATTAATCACAGGGTAGTGATAAATTCGGACAAAAATTCCATTTGGGCGTAATTTCACTTAAGGATACAAGAATGTAGGGGAAGCTAGAAAAATACCATGTAGATCTTAAACTGTGTAGAATTTGCAACTTGAACGTTCAGATCATTAGGGTTGCCGGTCCATAGCACTTTGCGTTTCCACAACTTGTTAGGGTCAACTGTTATCAACTTGGGTTTGTCAGTTAGAATGAGCTGCACCTTCTTGCTTGTTAGAGTATTTATTTTCTTCACTGCAGATGTCATTACTATTGACTCCCCAATTTCCAGAAAATCTTGCCTGCAATCAAATTTAAGCAGCATTGCAACTACTAAGATATCACAGTGAAACAAACTTGACTTCAAGATCAGCAGAAGAGTATGAACTTTGGACTACTATAAACTTTTTTATTAGAGAAAACTATCATGAACTTTCAGAACTGCACAGAAATACTGTGAATTAACCATTGGAAATTGTTGTTAGGACTACTATAAACTTTTTTATTAGAGAAAACGGTCATGAACTTTCAGAACTGCACAGAAATACTGTGAATTAACTATTGGAAATTGTTGTTAGGACTATAAACTATTTTATTAGAGAAAACTATCATGAACTTTCAGAACTGCACAGAATTACTGTGAATTAACTATTGGAAATTGTTGCTAACTGCATTAATGACTAGGATAAAATGCCCAGACAGTCCTTGAAATAGGTGAAGGAGAGAGGGTAATATTTAAGACATGTAGAAAGTACGCAAGGGCAAAATTGTAAAACATTTCATGTTCAAGAACATGATTACGTACTATAACAACTGCGATACATAGCAATTTAGTGAAAAAAGTTAGTGATAGTTTTCTATAGTGTTAGTTTTGTCCAAACCCCCAAAAGTGCATGGTAATTTTGTGAAATTTACCCTTAAAAGGAATTGCTCCAATCATAATCAAAATAAATATTTCGCGCAATTCATTGGTGATATGTTTAAAATGCTAGAATGCTCACATAATCAGCAGAAATAGTGAAAACAGGAGAGTTCACATAAAAATGTGAGTTCATGATGTACAGAAAACACACCATCTAGAGTCAAAGGAATCAATTGAACCAAGTTTAGCCAAAGTAGGATGAGCATCAGATGAGGATGGTGACAATGATGCAGCAGCATCTGCCGCATCATGTTCATCACAAACTGCATTTTGATGGTTCTGTGTATCATCATGAGAGCCACCATCATTATGATGAGCCTGAAAGAGAACTGGTCAACCTGGTTTCCAAATGGAACAAAAAAAATCTTTGTATGTTAAAAGTTGAGACAAAAAATTAAATACATCTGATTCTTGAGAAAACTTCGGTGGTGGCGACTTCCACAGGTTTTGCCAGTCAATTCCCTTGAAAAAAGGATGAAATTTCAAGGCAGCATAACCATCCAGTCCAGCACCAAGCCTTTTACTCGGGTCTTTATCCTGGGAAGACAAAAGAACTGAGTTAGCAAAGTAGGGGAAGGTTTTATAATACTATATCTTCCAATATATTAAGAAATTAAAGCCAATAAAGGAAATATTTGTTAGTTTGAGGAGATGACATGCACGTTTGTACAGCAAAGATAGTACATCTGGCTGCTTTGGATCACACATCATCTTGGATTGCGCATACAGCCAAGATGAGTGATGTTTTTTTGTAGCTTGTTGGCCTGAATTTTTTGTTGGTATCACTATCTTTTTATGGATATTGATATTTGTTCAGGTTGGGATTCTTAACCATAGCCATAAGCTCCTATAGTAGTAATTGGTTTTCCATTTCTGCAACTTTCATAAGTTGCAGAGACATTCTGTTTCTGTAGCGGAAGATATTTCATTAAACCCTTTGTAACGATACACTTGGGGTTATATCCACAGCTGTTCTGAAAAAAAAGGCAAAGCATCACTGTAAATCGACGAAAATTTATGCCAAAGGTTAATAGCAATAGTAAAAGGAGTGTATGCAAGAAGGTATTGTTTAGAGAATTTCATATCTTATGTGTTTGTGTGGTAGAATATGTATGTAGTTGTGTATGCACAGACTATATATGTATATATCAACGACACCCCTATTACTCACCAGTAGTTTATCAATAAGGTCACTTGCTTCATCTGAAAAATACTTGGGAAAAGTTAGGTCTCTGATTATTATTCTCTGAAATGTAAGCCAGTCGCTAGCATCCTTAAAGGGAGGAGATCCAGAAAGCATCTGGTACAAGGTGCATCCAAGCGCCCATAGATCATTCCTGAGCACCACAAAAGAGAAGAAGCTTAAATTGGACATGATATTTAAAGAAATACAGAACTAAGTTTTAATTGCAAACAAACCAGCAGAAGTCAGATTTTCTACAAAACGAAAAGAGAAAGCCTCCAGTTTGCTTACCCATAAGTTGCTTGCGAAGAATTAAGGGATTCAGGAGGGACATATGCCGCTGTTCCAACAAACGTACCCTCCTTATCATCTGCATCAGCCATTGAACAAAAACATGTTAACTATCAATTGATATATCTTCACAACGGGAGAGATGACGATAATAACCTTACTTGTATCAGGAGGAACCGTGATCCTAGTGCTCATTGTTGGTTTTACACTACCAAAATCAGCAATTTTGATATGTCCATCTTCAGTGAGAAGCAAGTTCTCTGGCTGACATTAGCAATATAATTAGTCCAAACGATACTAAATTACGAGAGAGTGCATATTTTTGGGTTTACCTTTATGTCCCGATGAATTAATCCTTGACTATGTATATATTCCAATGTATCAACTATCTCTGCTGCATAAAAGCGGGCCTCATTCTCAGGCAGTCGACCTTTCTGAAGTCAGATGAATTAGTTAGCGAAGACATCATTTAACACAGTGTAAGAACTATGAGTTCCCTTGTTTTAGAATTTACCCTGGTTATTAAATCAAATATCTCACCACCATCACAGGATTCAAGCGCCATGTCTGCATAGTAATAACGAAAAGACTTATTGTAGCTGTGGCATGATCACAGAAAAACCTATGAAGATAATAATAGTTAAAACTGACAAAGATCAAACACAAAAAGGAAAGCAGCTCACAGAGGAAAAAATTGTCTTGGAATGTGAAATATAATCGTACAACACCAGGATGATCCAATTGATCAAGAACAATGCGTTCCAATTTCACATGAGATGCTTTATTTTCTTTCGTAATGAACTGCTTGTCCATGATCTTTAAAGCATAGACAATTCCTGTGTCCTTCTTCTTTGCTCTCATTACCTGGTGAAGAGTCAGTATCACTCGGATGAGGAAGAAAACAAATAATGGAGAAAGCAGTCTTCTAAATTTAGATCCTATTGTTTTCTTTCAATCCTTGAGTCAACAATTGACACTCAAGTCTTATAGAGGAATGACCATTCCACATAGAAAAGCTGTATCATCTTATCCTAAGAATTTCTCTTTGGGAAGATGAATTGCTTGCATAAGTTTAAACTCAATGAAATTATGTACAGCAGTGTAGTCCTTGATATCCAGCTATATCCTGA